CTGCCCTGGGGGAACGCAGACCGGGGAGAAAGGTGTATGTTTTGCTTTGGGTCCCTTCTTCCTTTGCACCGGGGTCTCGGTGAACTTGGTTGCTCCGTTGAGAAGGACAATGGCCACTATTAATAGGCTTATCATCAGCATCGAACGTTGGGAGTTTAGCAACAGGGAACATTGATTGATTACTGAGGCGCCAGCAGCTGGCATTGTTGGAGTTTCCCGGAAGGGTGAATCGGAGGGACCCAGCTTTTCCCACGGGAATGGGGTCTTCATGGCTGCACGTGGTGGCCAGGGATGTCCCTGGGCCTGGTCCTTAAGGCTGTGTTACCCCAGCCGGGACCATGGCTTAGGGGTGGCCAGCTGGCTCATGCAGGTGAGGGGGTCGGGTAAGTCTTCCTCCTCCAGGAAGCACTGGATTGACCTGTGAGTAGGGGCAGCTAAGCCGCCATGCTCTCCAGGGGCATACAGGGGCTAATACAGTCAAGGCCAGCTGGAGGGAACCACTGAGCTTGCATTTCTTATTTTATTTATTTTTTAAAGATATTTTTACTAATTTCAGAGAGGAAGGGAGAGGGAGAGAGAGATAGAAACATCCATGATGAGAGAGAATCATGCATCGGCTGTCTCCTGCACACTCCCTACTGGGGATCGAGCCCACAACCCGGGCCTGTGCCCTGACCGGGAATTGAACCGTGACCTCCTGGTTCCTAGGTCGACGTTCAACCACTGAGCCACGCCGGCCGGGCTGAGCTTGCATTTCTCGCAGTCCTTGGGGCTCCCAGAGAGGAGACAGGCTGATCCTATTTCGGTTATAGCTCCTTATTTTTAGGGCCTTATAAACCGATTCATAAAATATCGCTCCAGTTTGGAAGGTTGGGACTTGGCATGAGAATGTGGAGTCTGTGCAAGCCCTTTCCCCCCTTTGGGTGAGAGCGTGCGTTTCTGAAGGTTTTTTGGCCACTCTCAACAACTGAAGTGGGACTTGGGGTCTTTTGAAATGTTTTTCGATTTTTTTTTTTTTACGTGGTTATTTTTAGTTGAAAACTCTCTGTCTGCCTTCTGTGGCTATTTTCATGTCTCCTTTCAGATCTGGGGTAGAGTCTTCACTTCTCATGGTCTCTCGCGAGCATCTGAATTCCGTCTCCTCCTGCTCCACCCTGGTAGATGGGACATGTCATGGGAGAGCCAGAGACTCAAATAATAAAACAATTTTTTGCTACGAGGCACTATCACCACAGGACTCCTGCCCTGGCCTGTGACTCAGTGATTAGAGCAGTGGTTCTCAACCTTCTGGCCTTTTAAATACAGCTCCTCATGTTGTGACCCAACCATAAAATTATTTTCATTGCTACTTCATAACTGTAATGTTGCTACTGTGATGAATCGTCATGTAAATATCTGATATGCAGGATGGTCTTAGGCGACCCCTGTGAATGGGTCGTTCGACCGCCAAAGGGGTCGTGACCCACAGGTTGAGAACCACTGGATTAGAGCGTCGGCCTGCGCACCAAAGGGTGGCAGGTTCGATTCCCGGTCAAGGGCACCTACCTGGGTTTCAGGTTTCACCCGAGTGTGGGAGGTAACCAATCGAAGTCTCCCTCTTACATCGATGCTTCTCTCTCACATCAATATTTCTCTCTCTCTGTCTCTCCCCCTTCCCTTCCACTCTTCCTAAAAATCAATGGGAAAAATATCCTCCCGCGAGGATTAGCACACACACACACACACACACACACACACACACACACACACCCGGACTCCCACATGTTTTGTGTGGTGGAGGTCTTATTAGAACACGCCTGACAGAGGAAGGCATCACGGTCCTTAGCCATCTAAGTTCTGTCCTGATTGTTTTTGTTAAATACATGCAGTTATGTTGTAATATCGTCTGGTCCATGTATAGCATTAACAAGTGATTATAGTCAGTGTTTAGGAAATATTGTGACTATTGAGAGATTGTATATTGCTGATTTATGCAAGAATTTGCGTGTGTGTGCGTGTGTGTGTGTGTGTGTGTGTGTGTGTGTGTGTACGCTGTCGTAAATAATCGGTTGGGGCTTGTGCTTTGTGTCCATTAAGATTCATGTGGTTGGAAATGACAGAGATCAAACTGGCTTCAACACTGATGACATCGCTGCCACGGGCTCACAGAACTGAGGCTGGCGCTCAGGGAAGGCTTGGCCAGACCGGGCTTCTTGGCAGCTGTTGGGGTTTTTTAAATGTTTTTATTGATTTCAGAGAGGAAGAGGGAGGGAGGGAGAGGGAGGGAGAGAGAGAGAAGGAAGCATCAGTGATGAAAGAGAATCATAGATCGGCTGCCTCCTGCACGCCCCCCACTGGGGATCGAGCCAGCAACCCGGGCCTGTGCCCTGACCAGGAATCGAACCGTGACCTCCTGGTTCCTAAGTTGATGCTCAACCACTGAGCCACGCCGACCGGGCTCCTATGGCACATATTTCATAGCGATGTTTCTTCCAGAAGCCTGAGCGACCGCAGTCACTCCGTCGTAATCCTGTGTTTTCCCCCTTTCCGTTGTCCTTTGGACGTATTCTCTGTGAGAACACAGAAAAATCAGTCTAGGGCCAGCACCCTGGCCCTCTTCTGGAGTATTCCCATTACTTGATTGAGAAAGAAAATCGAAAACTCAAGCGTGGAGACAGAAAGGAAAAGCACCAGCCGTGTGTGTGTGTGTGTGTGTGTGCATGTGTGTGTGTGTGTGTGTGTGTGTGTGTGTATGAGACTGCCTTTCCCACTGCCGTTCCCCCAAGCAGAGGAATTGGACGTGAAGTGTGTTATCTTTTCCCAGTCCTCTCCTGGGCTGTTATGCAACACCCCCCGCCCCCCCCCACTCAAATAACTCTAAGCAGAGCCGGCCTCCAGCTTCCATAGGAAATCTGCCTCGGAGCTGCGGGCAGACGGGCCCAGAATGCAGTTGATGATTTCAAGTGCACGCTGGCCGGGACCGTCCAGGTGGCTGGAGGAAGCTCCTGGCAGCCGGGCCCGCCCTGAGGCAGAAGAGGAAGAGGAATCGTGGTCCCGGGAGGCCCGGGCCAGGCCCCAGGCCGGGTGGCCGAGGTGCTGACTTCGTGTTCCAGGGCCGGCGGGGGTGGAGCGCGGCCCCTGCCAGTTCCCGCAGAAGCGTCTGATTTTTGAATCAGCAGCGTCCCCCTTCCCGCTCCCTCCGACGGGGAGAGCTGGAGGGAATGTAGGCCCGGGGTTGGGGAGCCTGCCTGGCCTCCCTCCCAGCAGGAGGACTCGGGCCAGAGGGTCCGACACTCGGAGGAAGGGAAGGGAGCAGACACGCTGTTTGCAGCGACTGTTTGCTTCTTTTCTAAGCAATGCCTTTCGGGTTGCTTTTTTTTTTTTTTT